CACACACACACACACACACACACACACACACACACACACACACACACACACACACACAAATATAGTGTTATGAATGCAATGAAACTATATAATTATTTTTATGTATTATATTTATTAATAAATATTTATATGTATGAGAAAAAAATTTCATTACATTGTTTTTATATGACAGTCAATATTTTTGCATCATCTTTCAAGATATTTACATAATTGTAATTTTTTATCAAATGTCATTAAGATATATAATAATTGCGTTCGAACAAAAGAATGATTCAAGATAAAATGCTTGTTAAGTAATTTAAAAGAGGCTGTAAAGACAATCTGTCGTATTAAAGCATTCCTTATCAATTTATCGTTCTTCTGGTAGAAAATTCTGCACTTGCCATAGAACGAATGGAATGCGAGAGAGAAGTTTCTCGCGGCATGTGTCTAAATCCTCGCTGGTATTAGTGTCTTCCATCGTCTTTCTTTTTCCGGTATAGCCGGTCTAATCCTAATGGAGCAGCAGCTTGCTCAACGTGGTCACGTTCACCGGATCCTCTTCCGGAAGGAGGAAGGTTTATAAATTTTCCAAGCCCACTTCGCGATTGCACGTCTACGTATGTTCCTCTCGTACAACTCCCTCATCCTCGTTTCATTTCAGTTGCAACCAAAACCGGTGATTATAAATGGCAACTGTAACCAAAATATGTTAAAAGAATTACAATTTTTTAACGAAAATATTACATTGTATTCGAATGCATATTGCATTAGTATCTATTTCAAGAAAGAGATAAAAATGCACAGGCTTAAATTTTTTACCACGAGTAACAATGCATAGATTTTAAGACATTCGAGTAAAGAAGATGTACAACAATGGTTACGATAAATGTATGAATAGAAAATGTACTAGAAACGTTAAATTAGAAATTCTAATTATTATTAACGAATATTTTCGTTTTGCACCTCAAGTCTTGTGTTTTTACAGAATGTTTATAAGAGAGTACTCGAGAGTACGCGCGTTATTAAAATGAAGTATCGTAGATACTTCACGGTAGTCGATCGCATCTCGGACGAAAGGTAGATTAAATAAAAAAAATTTTTCAGTTAAGCGTGATAATGCTCTCCGCCGTCGGTGAGCATCGATATTATTGGAAAAAAATTTCCTCTCAACGCTGTGCAAACTGCAACTACGCCGCCGCGCAAACGAGCTTTGGATCATATTTACCCAACGTGAACCGTGTGCGAACGACTTGATTGCATTCAAAAACACGCGCATTTGTCGGAATAACATTTTCGTACATGCGAAGAGTGATATCTCCGCACGTTTGTCTCGTTACTCCATTCACATTCTATCCTCATGTAATCTGTACTTCTTTTTTTTTTTAAGTCGAATTTACATTTCTAGAACTGCAAATGTAAATTATAATTCTAATTAGCAATTACAATTGGCGGTGACTGGGTACGCAGCTATGTTAATTTTGTATACGTTTATAAATGTACGAGAGAAAATATACGATGGAAATTATTTATGTAATTTACGTAAATTCATAAATTTTATATGTGACTCTTCAATTGTATCAGAAGATTAATGCTCTAGTTATGATTCCAACTCAAAACGGTACACGGTAAGGATTGTTTCGTTGAAGTTATCTAAAAATTTAGTAAGATACAGATTTAAAAATAATTTTGTTGGATTATCAAAATAATTAGAACGTTCGAGCTGGTTGTTAGAATGTCAAAACTTTTTGTACGTTATGCTCGAAATTTCTATGTAATTATTTTAATGGTCCAATAAATTTATTTTCAATTCTGTATATATCTAAATTTTTAGATACTTCAACAAAATTGTTCTTTCCATGTTTTTACTTTTATCAACTCGTTTATTTCAATCGACTAAATAATATTTCCTAAATACTATTCTTTTTTTTGTTAATAATTTTAGTAATCTAGTTAATCTGTTATTGATTTAAAGCAATTTGCGTTAATAATGAAATTCTGCAGTCGTGAGAATTCCTTCGTGAAGATGCTCCTTGCATCTCGTGATCTGCTACTGAAAGTGCTGACTATTGCAATTGATGGTAACTGCAACTTGAGAATTGCAGCGATAACAATTGTGTGCAGTGACTGGGACGTAACTTGTTCTGTTTGAAATGAAATCGTGTAGGTGTTATCTCCTCCGCGATACAAGAAGTTCACCTTAATTTCGACTTCTCCCGAAATTTGATTATATTTATACTTATATTATGTTTATATTGTTATTCATTTATCGATAGAATAACATTTTATCTAAGAAAACTTTTTACTCGTGTACGTTTAATCTAAATAATTTTAAACAAAAGAAATTTTGAATTATATCGTTTAAATATTAGTATCGCTATAAAAATCTTAATTATAAATCATAATGTTAAAAAAAATCTGAATAGATGAAACATTCATAACGAATAATATGGAAATTATATATATAAAATAATAAATTTTGTTAAATTTTTTATACATATATGAGTAGTGAAAAAAAAAATGAATAGTGATGCTGTAATGAATAAAATGTACATTCTCTATGTTTTGACATTTTATATAATGAGAATGTTTCAATTAATTGAATCTTCATAAATAATTAATATCGCATAAAAATAAGGCATGTATGATGTTCATGAAAATATATATATATATATATTTGTACATATTAACAAAACAAACAAGTACGTCATCGCCGATATTGGCGGAACGCCGCGTTGCGGAAGCGGAACAAGCTCAACTTCGAACAAGTCGCAGCTGGTCGCGGATTACACGCGACGGCTGTAACCGGTAATACTATACCGGGTAACGAGGAATCACAAGAGAACAATAAAACGCGGTAAAGTACAACGAGGCGAAAAGGAAGGAAACTCGCGAGCGGAAAAACGGTTAAATTAACCGGTTGCGAGCAATTCGTTTTCAATTACGTGTACAGTTGCGTGAGAGGGATGAAAAGGAAGGGACGAAAGCGATCTGGAGAGGAGACCAAGTCGGGATTTTATGGTCGTAAACCGTAACGGGCAGGCACGAGCAACGGACCGAAAGTTATGGTGTTCGCCTTGCCTTCGACGAAGCGCCGCGCCATGCCATGCCGCGCTACGCTATCGAGACTCCTGAAGTGACTTGTAAAGCACAGACCACTCCACTCCGGATACGCCAGGATAACCGGAAGGTAACCGGACTGATAACGAGATCGCCTCCTGTGCCATTTATCGCCGTGCAGATAAGCAAGCGCCGACCGCCTCTTCTCTGCGCCCGATCTCATTTTTCATGCGAGTTGTATGATCGTAATTTTAACGCAGGTGTACCACGCGGTCTATCAAATCGCCATATTTTTTATTTTTATTATTTTTAATATAATACTCAAAATGGAAGATGTATTTATATTTATCAGTTGGATCAAATTCAACTACGATTTCATTTGTGTTACTTGATGATTTATGCGTTAAGTGAAGCTGAAAGCACTGAATCTCCTTTATTTTCCACTGGGAAAACGCTACTAATATTTATAAATATAAGTTTCACGTTCCATGGTATCATTCACAGAAAAACTGATTTTGTTGAAATATCTAAAAATTTAGGTAGATACAAATTTAAAAATAATTTTATTTGACTCTTTATGCCCGTTTTATTATTGTAATTAACTTTAAGTTTAAAGAGCCTGAAATTTAAATTTAAATTTTATTTGAATTATTAAAATATAATTATGTACAGGACATTTAAACTGATTACTAGAATGTTAACATTTTTTTATATTATTGTCAACGTTTAAGCGTTCTACGTAATTATTTTTATGGTTTTGATTTTCAATAAAATTATTTTCAGATCCGTATAATTTAGCAGCTAGCTAAATTAGATACTTCAGTAAAATCGTTTTCTCTGTGTTGAAATTAACGTTTAGTCGATGAGTCCGATATTGATCCTTTATTCAATTATGCGAATTTATAATTAATTCGGCGTAATCATCGCGCCTTTCGCACGGACCGGAAAATTTAACGATTTGCACGCGTAGGCGTTGTCGCAATTTCGTCGCGTTGTT